AAATATGAAAGACATGAACAACAATTTGTTGTCACTGAGAAAACTGAGAAACAGCTATGACAACCGGTGACTGTCGGATTCTTATGGTGCAGACGTTCAACGTCTGCACCAAAAACAAAAAAGGAGGCGAAAGAGGAAACGTAGGGTTTGATTTCGCTGGTGGGGATTTACACATTGAGCTTGGCTGTGGGCTTACTTGTAATGAGTGGAAAATCGAATTTGCTCGCGGAGTTTGTAATTTGGTATTACATGTGATGCGTTCTAGTGACGGCGCATCGGGGTTGCGGAAGCTTACCCGGAAAACAAGAAAAGCAGGAAACACATTAAAAACACATATGTTTTCAAATGGAAAAACTAAAGAAACTTAGGACTACCTGTGGCTGTCGCTATTTTTATAGGTTTTCCAATAAACAGCGCTGACACTCATAGGTTTTCCTTAGTTTTTTGTTTTTCCTTGTGAAAATACAGTTTTCATTTTTTAAAAGGATGTTTCTTTTTTCCTGTTTTCTTCTTACGCCTTTCTGGCTCCTCGGCGTGGTAGTGGCGGCGCCGCGAGGCTGCGAAAACTTACCAAGCAAACAAGAAAAACATGACAAACACGAGAAAACCGGTGCTTTCACAAGGGAAGATAAGAAACACTTAGGACAACCTGTGACTGCCGCTATTTGTATTGGTTTTACAATGAAATGCGCTGACAGTCACATGTTATCCTTAGTTTTTTCGTGTTCTTCCAATGAGACAATGTATTTGATTTTTCGTTATTTTTCCTGTTTTCCTGGCAGGCTTTCGCGGCTCCACGGCGCTGCCTCTCCAAATCTCGCAGCAGCGAAAGCAATGTAGAAATGGATTACACAATGCTTTCGTTTGTGGTGCTTTGCGAGAGTGAGGCGAGCTAAGTACACAGCTCTCACAGCTCGCAGCACCAGACGATCACCATGTTGTGAGGTTCTCCTTCTTTGCGAGACAGGAGGGCCCCACAGCGTTCCTTTCTCTCTTTCTGGTGGCCGGCCCGGGCCGCTCCCTCAGGGGCCGCCCCTCGGCCGCCGCCGTTTCCGGCGCGTCGCCTGGCCCTGCCGTCTTTCGCGGCTCCTTGGTGCCGCGACCTTTTGTGGCACCGCCGCCTCCAACTCGCCACTCTCGGTAACTCGCTCTCCCCGCCTTCCAGTCCCCGTTGGCTTATGTCACCTTCCACCTTCGCCGTAATTTTGTCCGCTCATTGCCCCTCCCCGCCATCCAGGCCAGGATACTTATGGCTGCCGCTGGCTGCGAGACCCTTTATCTTACTTAATGCTTCAAATTTTTGTTCCTCGGAGCAAGCCCACACCCCAGAGCTTGTCTTTTTACCACACTGCGCAGCAGCGGGAGCGAGAAACAGGAGGAGGAGGATGGAGGAGGAGTGGAACGGACGCTGTGCGGCGGACCCCTGCGGCCCAAACGGCTACACATACAAAAATCAAAACGCACTGCGGCAACCCAGGTGGCAGGAGCGAGCAGGGGGCGGGAGGAAGAACGCCAAGGGAGAGTGACAAGCCAGCAAAGGCCCGTCAGAAAATCTCGCGCGTGCGAAGACCAGACGCTCTGGGCAGAGCCAGAGCTGGTGCCCGCACAGGAGCCCCACGCGAGTCTAGTGCAAATTGGGGCCCCAAGCTGAGGTAAGCCCCGTAGCAGCCTGGCAGGAAGGGCCATGCCGCTTTGCCAGATGAGCGGGCACCTAGTGCCACGGATGCCGATGCGACGCAAGGCACAGGAGGATGAGGAGGACGAGGAGGAGGAGGAGGAGGAGGAGGAGGAGGAGGAGGAGGAGGTTGAACAAAGACCAGGAGGAGGAGGATGAGGAGGAGGAGGAGGAGGAGGAGGAGGAGGAGGAGGAGGAGGAGAGGGCACAGCAGAGAAGGGAGCAGGAGGACGAGAGCGACCGGCAAGAATCAAGAGATTGCTAAAACCGCGCGAGGGGGTTGCAGGGCACGATAAGAGAACAAACCGTCCCTGCCGCCCCCGGGGCGGGGGACGCCGCCCCCGAAATCTGGGGGCAGCGCGTTCATAGAAAAACTGACAAAAAACAACATGCAAGGCAACGCTGTGATCGAAGCGGGAGGGTTGACGGAGGCGAGGGGCTGGGGAACTGAGCACTGCACCACTACCATCGGACGCCTCCCCCCCAGAGTGGGCCACAAGCCCAAGGAAGGCAGGACCGCACCCCGACGACGACGACGCCGACGATGACGGCGACGGCAACGAGAACGACGACGACGATGACGACGACGACGCCCAAGACCACGACGAGGAGGAGGAGGAGGACGACGACTGGGCGACGGCGGCGGAGTAGGCGGCGGCGGCGGCGACGACGACGAGGGGAGAGGGGCAGAGGAAGGAGGTACAAAAAGAGGGAAGGGAGGGACAAGGGGAAAGAGGAACGAGCGGTCCCCAGCCCCCCAGGGCGTGGGACCCCCAGGGGGAGGAGGCTGGCGGCCAGTGTCAGCGCTGGCCGAGGAAGTCGCCGTGCTGCTGCGGGACTGCCCTGCTCCCACGGCGGCTAGCTGTTGACATGAAGCTCGCCGTGGCACTGGCCCTGGACGTCGCCGTGGTGCTCCTGGTGGACAACGTGGTAGCGCTCGACGCTGTCGTTGTGGGCCCCATGGCGGCGCTCCAATACGCAGCACTAGATAGCGACGTAGTTTTCGACTCCGTCATGGTGGACACCGTGTTAGCATTCGAGTCAGTAGTGCTAGATGCCGATGCTCGACATCTCTGTGGTGGCATGGGATCGTTAGAGTTTGTTTTGCTCGATAGCGACGTGGGGCTCGACCCCTCGTAGTGGACTCCCTGGCAACCGACATTCCGCAGCGCTCAGGTAGCGGCGTGGTGTTCGACGCCGACATCGGCGCCATCGTTGGTGTTGACGTCGGTGCTGGCTTCTGGCGTCGGTGCTGGTGCAGGCGCTGGCGCTGGTGCCAGCGAGGGCGCTGGCATCGGAGCCGTCGTCGGTGTTGAAGTCGGCGCCAGTGTAGGCGCTGACGTTGGCGCCGTCGCTGGTGCTGGCGAGACCCTAAATGGACTCTGAGAGCTCGGCCAGGCGTAGACGCGCACGTTCCGCCGCTTGCGCTTGGGCTTCTACGCCCCGTCGCCGCGCGCGGGGCCGCGACGCCAAAGACCGTGCGCACCCCGAAGCTCTGCCACTCTCCTCCCCCCACGCTTTCTCCGCGACCTTCCGTCGAAGGGGCGGACGCGGTGTCTGGGCCACAACGGTCGGCGCTGCGGTCGGCTCGCCCGCGGCGCGGTCGTGCTTTCCCTCCCTCCTCAATCCCCCTTCTCTACTCTTCTCTTCCCTTCCCTTCTCTTCTCTTCTCTCCTATTAGATTATATTATCCTCTCTTCTCCTCCTTCTTATCCTCCTCCTCTTCCTCGTCGTCGTCGTCCTCCTCCTCCTCCTCCTCCGTCGGTCGGTCGATCGGGCGTGATGACATGTGCTTGCAGTTGCCAATATCCTCCTCCTCCTCCTGCTCCTCTTGCTCCTCCTCCTCCTCCTCCTCCTCCTCCTCCCCCTCCTCCTCCCCTCATCTTCCTCTTCCTCTTCCTCTTCGTCCTCCTCCTCCTCCTTCCCCTCCTCTTCCTCCTCCTACCCTTCTTTTCTTCCTCCTTCTCCCCCCTCTTCTTCTTCTTCCTCCTTCTCCTGCTCCTCCTTCTCCTCCTCCTCCTCCTCCTCCTCTTCACTGGGTGGCTCGATGTTCTCTGGTGCAAGCGGGCCCTGAACTGGTCACATGCCACCCTCGTCTTTCGCAACCGACCGGAGGCCGTTTCTGAATCCGGAAGCTGTTTTCGGGGCCCGGGATGGTCAACAATCGCTCTGGGATAGAAAGCTGGCCCGGAAGGACCGTGATCTTGAGCGGACTCTTGCGGCCGCGGCCTGCATGCCGAGGCGCGATCCCGTGGATACGTAATCTCCCATGGATGCGTTCCGCGCGGGGCAGCCGCACACAGCCGCCCCGTAATCATGGGGCTCGCGGCCTAGGATTAGGTCGGGCACGTCCCCCTACAGGCGGATTTTGGGCGAGAGATAAAAATAGTCAAACTATACCCCCAAATGGTCAAACAATACTCCAAAAATCGTCCCCATACTATCTTTTTGTTGTTTACTATTTCTGACTAGTCCTCCTGTAGAGGGACAGGCCCGACTCAATTCCAGCCCACGGCTCCCCCATCAGATCCTGGACGCCCGACCAGAGAGCTCATGCGAGCTGCCCGAAGTCTGCCCGCGGCCCGCACACGCTTTTCTGCAGAGAGTCCTGTCCTCTGTGGGGCAGAGAGGCGATCCCAGCTCGCCTGGAGGCCTCGCAATGGCGGTTCCGTGGACAGAGCCTCAAAGAGCGGCCGTGGGAGAGCCCGCTGTGAACTGTGCGGGGGCCGCGCCGACCACCTGCCCGCCAAGGGCGTGGCTCTGTCGCGTGATCCTGTAATGCGACAGCACGAGCCCGTAAGGCCCCGGGCGGCGGAGGAATCCTTCCGCTGCTGCACGTCGCGTGCTCCTGTAAAGCGACAGCGCAAGCCCGCGCGGAGGAATCCTGCTGCTGCCGCGCGTCGGAAGGTCCTGTGGAGAAACAACACACGGTCAACACACGGTCACGCTCCGCGCGGAGGAATCCCTCCGCTGCCGCGCGCGTCGCATGATCTAGTAGAGAAACGACATACGCCCGCCAGGCTCCTCACGGAGGAATCTATCCGCTGCCGCGCGTCGCATGCTTCTGTAGAGCGCTGTAGAGCGACAGCGTCAGTCCGCCAGGCTCCGCGCGGAGGACTCCATCCGCTGCCGCGCGTCGCATGACCCTGTAGCGCGACAGCACAAGCCCGCCAGGCCCCGCGCGGAGGAATCCCGCCGCTGCCGCGCGCACGCCGCCGCGGTGGGCCGCCATCGTCGAGAGGGCTTCGAGGGCGACGGAAGCGCCAGGATTGCGCAGCCCAACGTCGCCGACAGCCCACACGACGACAGCGAGCGGTGGAAGCCCTCACTCGGCAGCGGCGGCGCCGCCTCCCCGCGCAGAGGGCCGCACGCGGCAGCCCTCCCCGGAGCGGAGCACCACCCGCATCGAGGCCCGCCGCTCGTAGACGACGGGCTGCTGCTCGTCGTCCTCGTCGTCGTCGCCGCCGCTCACGGGGAAGGGCACCTCCACCCGCCTGTCCTAGGGGAGCGAACAATGACATAAACACAAACACTCGGAGGTCCGCGCGGATTTCTCGGATCGGCACTGGAGCCCCCTGGCGGCGTCTCCGGCGCCGCCCCTGGCGTGCTCCGCGCGCCAAAGGAGGGGGTCCAGCACCGATCCGAGAAATCCGCGCGGACCTCCGAATTTTTGTGTTTATGTTATTGTTTGTTTCCCTCTGTTCAGGTCGGGCCTGTCCCCCTACAGGGGGATTTTGGATGCAAAATCAAAACAATTCAAAACATGCCGCAAAATAGAAAAATACTCAAAAATCGTCCCCGGACTATTCTTTTACTATTTTGAAATATTCCTCCTGTAGAGGGACAGGCCCGACCTAACCCTATGTCCACCGCGAACATGATCGTGCGGTCCACCAAGCGAGAGCCATTGCCCAGCACCTCCACGACCACCGTGCCGTGGCCGGTCAGGCGCTCATGCTCGCGGGCACCGGCGAGGTCGCCTTGCACCGTCTCGCGAAGGTACAGCCCGGCCGGCACCGGCTCTGCGCTTCGCACGCACTCCCACTGCTCGCCGCCCAGCTCTGCCTCCGCGCTTGGCGGCACCGACCGCAGCGTCCACGCCACCGGGCTGGCCACCTGGACGTAAGGGGTGCCCTGTGGGTCGCTCTCGGGCTCGCCCAGCGGCCTGGAGGAGGAGCCGTTCCTCTGTAGCAAGGTCACGACGGTCCCCAAGTTCGTGTACCTTCCGTGCCACAGCGTACTGGTGCAGTACGAGGTGAGGTCGAGCCCGCCATGGTTGAACTTCTGGCAGTACGTAGGAACACTCCCGGTGTGGTAGAAGTACTTGCAGCAGGAGATGCGCTCGTTGACTTCGCCGAACTTCCAGCTGAAACTCGCCATCATGGTATCCTCCGAGCTGTACCAAGCGCCGCCGCCGCACTTCCCCGGCTTGCACCCGACGTCCCACTTCCCGATCAGGTCTGACCACTTCGAGCAGCCAAATCTATCGCAATTCGGGTCCTCGTCGGCGTTGCCGGAGCCGATCGTGTACTCGTCACCCAGCCCGAAGAGAGAGTGCCCCAGCTCATGAATGGCGATCTGCGCAGAGTTCTCGTTTACGGAGACGGAAGCTGTAGCTGTCCAAGGAAACCCAGCGCCGCCGTACCTCTCGTCGTTGTGCACGATGAGGGTGTTCATGATCAGTCCAGATCCGCAGTGGCGTGCGGCATGTTCCACAAGTCTGTCCTTACCGGGGCAGCAGAGGAGACGGTCCACCGCAGGGCAGCCTGGAATGGAGCCGCGAGCCTCGTTGCCGAAGACGCACAGCTCGGCACCCCCGCCAAGCTCGGCGTCCACGTACCAAACCTGTAACGCATCGATGTTTTCCGCATCGAAGGGCTTGTAGTTGGAGAAGACTTGGTATATCTTCCGCGCCGCGCGCTCGAAAGCGGCCAAGTCGCCGCCGAAGCCTGACGGCACAAGAACCACGTGCAGGGACTGCGCCAGCTTGTTGGAATTGTCGGACAGGGCCTTGCAACGGCCAGTGCTGCCAATGGTCTGCGTCGGCCACGTGACGGTCCCGCTGGCGCCACCGCACAGGCCGCACGTCTGGCGGCAGTGCTTGGTCATCAGGGCCTGATAGCTGGGGTTGCTGCAGAAGCTCGCGTAGAAGCTGCAGGGCTGCGTCCACGTTGGTGGTGGCGCGTCCGCGCACGCCGGTCCTGGCGCTGCCGTCGCCGGACACGTGCCGCAGGTCACCGGGCAGTGCGACCGGACCTGGCCCCCCCATTCGCCGTCCGCGCACAGGTAGCCGTACGAGGCGCACGGGAGCTGCCACTGCGGGGGCGGTGCGTCCTCGCACGCCGCTCCTTGGGGAACCAAGGGATACCGCTGCCGATGCCGCTGCTCCCCCGACCTCTCCTGGGGTGCGTTCTAGCAAGAATTTCGAGGCGGATCCAGCCATTGCGACGAGGGCCTCCCAGGAGGCCCAGAGAGGCGAGAACGAGGCAACGGTAGCAGTATCGGTATTCTTTACTCCTCTGAATCCGATCGTTGCCGTCGCTGGACACGTGCCGCAGGTCACCGGGCAATACGACCGGACCTGGCCCCCCCACTCGCCGTCCGCGCACAGGTACCCGTATGAGGCGCACGGGAGCTGCCACGTGGCGGGCGGCGCATCCTCGCACGCGGAGGCCACCTGGCGGGCGCCCTCCGTGAGCTGCGTCAGCAGGGAGCCTGGGGGGAGCCAAGGTGCCGATGCAACGAGCATATACGAGAAGAATCCTGCTGCGCGTCTTGTCCACGACCCACTCTAGCCCCAAGAGTGCCACAAGAAGCCATCGAAATGCCTCCTCCTCCTCCTCTTCCTCCTCCTCCTCCTCCTCCTCCTCCTCCTCCTCCTCTTACAATGATGCAATATCGGCGGGCAGAATGAACGAAGCCATTCTATATTGGTGCTGCTTCTTCCTTGAGCTTTGTGCTCCCTTGAGGTGCCCCAAGGCTTCTGTGGCCCCCCAGGGCGACTGCGGGACGAGGAGCTTCCGTGGGGCACATGCTGGGAGGCCGGCTTCTCATCCGACGCGCCTGCCGTACTGCTATCCTTAGGTCGGGCATGTTCTCCTACAGGCGGATTTTGGACGAAAAATGAGAAATAGTCAAACAACATCCATCAATACTGAAAATAATAGAAGAGCCGTTCCCAGACCATTTTTGTTTACAATTTTTGAATACTCCTTCCGTGGAGGGACAGGCTCGACTTAACGCTACCCCCTTGGACCTCTCCTGAAGCGCGTGCGGACCATGCTCTCCAGGCGACTCCGGCCGTGGCGGCGAGGGCCCTTCCCCAGCTGGAGACATCCTGGCTGGGGTCGGAGTCGCCGGGGGTCGGAGGATCGCGCCGCATCACCGATGCATCACCGATGCAGCGGCGACGCGTCGGCGACGCCGGCGACGCATCGGCGCCGTCGGCGTGAAGAGAACATCGGGCTCCACGTCGCAGCGCATCGCCGATGCATCGGCGCTGCGGCGCGGTCCTCTGACCCCATCTGCTCGGACCCCATCTGGGAGGCCTGGGCCACCCCTCTCGCCTCCCGCCGAGCTGCGCGCAAGAGTGTCCCTGGGCATGAGTGAATCCTTGGTGCACGGCTTCGGGCGCCCGCGGGGGTGCCAAGTCCAACCACGCTGACCAGTGCTGGGGGGGGGGGACCCTGTAGGCACGCACCCGAAGGCCACGACAGAAGGACCACAGGTCCCGCGTGGGCGATCAAGCACCGAGGATCGAGATTTCCAGAATTCCACCAGAGGCCCCTTCCAACAAAAAAACGAGCCGAACGAGGGAAGGTGAGAAAGACAAGTATCGTGTTTGGGGGAAGGGGCTGGGAAGATACGAGGCAGGACGGTGTAGTAAGCCCACTTAACAGATGAGATAGCACACGAGTGATCTGATCATTTCTCCAAGCCCCATCCTCCCAACCCGATGCTTGTCCTTCTGTCGACTCCTCGCAAGAGTGACCCTGGGTAAGAGGGACCTCTGGTGCGCGGCTTTCTGCGGGCCGCGGGGGGGCAAACACGAGCGCGCAGGACGCCACTGCATCGCTCGGCGATCGGGGGACCCCATTGGGCCCGCACCAAAGGTCACTCCGGCGAAAGGTCACTCTTACGCCTAGTCGATCAGAGAACCCCGCGCGAACCTCCGAAAATGTACAGCACCCGTGCTGCCACAAGGAGCGCTCCATACCGGGAATAGAGAGGGTGACTCCTGGCCCCGGCGAGCCCTGGCTTCGAGCAGGCTCCCCGGCCCAGATCCTGAGGGACGGCCCGAAAACCAGAGCACCTCTTTTGGGGCCTCTTTTGGGCCTCTTGGGGCATCTTGGGGGCCTCGTGTGGGCCTCGTGGGGCCTCTTGGGCGTCACTCTTCCGTCTAGTCGAGTCTGGGAAGGGCACGTCGCCGCAAGGCTCCCGCGATTGCTGGGGCGCTGCCGGCGAAGCGGCCGCAGGCCGCCGCCGGGAAGGCCGTGCGGCGGCGGCGGCCTCGGAAGGCCGCGCCAGCCTCTGGCGGCCGCGCTGGCGGCGCCCAGCAATCGCGGGAACCCCGCGGCGGCCCAGAACGCAGGCCCATAGGCTCGTCCGTGCGCAACCGTTCGTTCTCCCCGTCAGCGGCTTGGAGCGTGCCCGTCCGTGGGGTAAAGCGTGCGCAGGAAGAGGGGAGAAGCGGTGGGAGAGTACACGAAGGCAGGCATCACTCCTCTCGAGGCGCCTCGCTCCCCGGACCCCCGACGTCTTGTCTCTTCCAGAACGTCGACTTGCAGAGGTCTCGACCCCTCCCCCAGGACCGGTTTTCCATCCCGAGCCCTTCCTTGACGGCCTCGAGGCCCAGCAAAGAGGCCAGGGGCCGAAAAAATGGCGACAAGACCTCCCCTCGTGATTTCGCTATGGCTCGCGGGGGCCTGGGGTCTGGGCACGGTGTCTTCCCCTCCTCTGCGAGAAAAGGAACGAGGAGGAGCGCGGGGGGAGGCAAAGGAGGATGAGAATCCGGAGGAGGAGGGGGAGGGGGAGAAGGAGGAGAAGGAGGAGGAGGAGGAGGAGGGGGAGGAGGAGGAGGAGGAGGGAGGAAGGAGGAGGAGGAGGAGGAGGAGAGGAGAGGAGCAGGAGGAGGCGGAGGGAGGAGGAGGAGGAGGGGGGGAGGAGCGCCGCCCCGCGGGGGGCGCTGCAGCAGCAGGTGCTCGCCGCCGCGCGCGGCGCGGCGGCGCACCGCCGCGGGGCGCGGCTCGCGGGCTCCCCGCGCCGAGGCTCGGCGGCGCGGCTCCGCGGGCGGCGGCGAGCGCCGCTGGGGCGACGGCCCGGGCCCAGCGGGCCGGCATCTCGTTTCTCGGCTGCGTGGCCGGCGGGGTTACGGCCGGGAGCTCTTTCGGATGGGCCCCGGCGACTTCCTACACCGCCACCCTCCCTGAGGGTACATGCACAGTTCGTCAGAGGGCGTCTGTGTATCATGTGTGTGTTCATATTTTCATTATTCTCACTCCTATTGCTCTTATAATAATTATTTTCACCATCACTATCATTCTTCGCATTATTGTTATCATCTACTACTAACTACCACTACTACTACCATTACTACTACCACTACTACTACTACGACTACTACTACTACTACTACTACTACTACTACTACTACTACTACTACTACTACTACTACTACTACTACTACTACTACTACTACTACTACTACTACTACTACTACTACTACCACTACTACTACTACTACTACTACTACTACTACTACTACTACTACTACTACTACTACTACTACTACTACTACTACATTACTACTACTACTACATTACTACTACTACTACTACTACTACTACTACTACTACTACTACTACTACTACTACTACTACTATGATTCGATGGAATATTATTGTTATCATTATCATTGTTAGTTCCACTCGCATTAACCTTTATCCACATTATCATTCTTCATACTATATAAATAATAATAAACAAATCATTATAACAGTACCAACACGCATACAACTAGTATCAATACTGACAATAACGCTGCTACTGCTACTGCTACTGCCACTACTAGTACGGATCATAATGCGAATATCCCGATTCATACTGATATTACCAATCATACTACTACTACTACTACTACTACTACTACTACTACTACTACTACTACTACTACTACTACTACTACTACTACTACTACTACGACTACTACTACTACTACTGACTACTACTACTACTACTACGACGACTACTACTACTACTACTACTACTACTACTACTACTACTCTACTACTACTACTACTACTACTTCTACTACTACTACTACTACTACTACTACTACTACTACTACTACTACTACTACTACTACTACGACTACTACTACTACGACGACGAATCACACTACTACTAAGAACAACAACAATACTCATACTTCGAATCCAAGAATAATAACGCCAATGAAATTTACACGATATTAATACGACTAAAACTAAACAGTAGTAGTACGCAAATTACCAACACAATGCATGTTACTAATACGGGTACGATTTGTAGTATAGTTGTGTATATATACGCACACACACAGACACACACATCTATACATATATATCTATACACATATATATATATATAATATATATATAATTATATTCTAATATATATATAGATATACGTGGCGTGTGGACGTCCGAGCGGTGTCGCGGCGGCGGCCCCGGCGACACGCCGTGTGCCCTGCGGGCGGATAGGGCGTCGCTCCGCTTTCCGCGGGGGCGGGAGGCCGGGAACAAAAAGCACGGGACGTGGGCGGTGGGGGGCCAGGAACAGCAGAGCGACACGCTGAGCCAAAGCTCCTGACCGTTAGGCGAGGGCAAGGTCAGGAGAACGAGACCTGCCCCGATTTCGGCCTCTGGTGCCCGTGATCGGGCCCCAGGGCCATCCAAAATGGATCCAAGGCCTCTTGTTAACCCTTGGGAAGCGGTCGGGACCTCCTGGGCCGCGGAGAGGGAAGAACCCTATCGGAACATGTCTGGGAATACACATACACCGTTCCTGGCAGGCCCATCCTGGGCCTAATAGGTGCATGCGCCCTCCTGGCTTGGCCAAGTAGATTCTGTGCACCGGCCTTGGGCCCAGGATGGGCCTGGCTGGAGTCGATGCATGTGCATCGAAGCTAAATCTGGAAGGGAATCACTATAGCTGGAAGAGAACCTGGAAGATAATAACTAGCTTGGCAACCTCTGAGAGCCGGCGGGTCTGGAAGACGTGTTGGGCGCCGCGGCCGTTTCGGGGCGCTCCGGAACGCTCCGAGAGCGCTTCAGAACGCGGAGCGATGCATCCTCATCCCAAGCCCGCCTGCTCACTGTGGTCTGGCCAGACCACGATGATCAGGCGGGCCTCTGGCGGCGCTCTGGGGGCCAGAAGGGCGCTCTGGTGGGGCAGCGGCGGCACTGGAACCTTGAGCCCACGGCCTGAGGCAGAGGCAACGGACCGCGCCCCGGGCTTGTGGACCCCCCCGAGAGGAAGCGCAAACGGCTGGGCATGCGCTGCCAGAGCGGTCGGCAGTCCAATCGGCTAAGTGGCTTCGCCTTTGATGTGCATCGCGAAGTCGCGATCAAGTATCTGCAGCCAGCGCACCGCTATACGAATCCAAGATGCGGCACAATGCCGATTCTTGCCCGTTGCAGGCAAGGCTATCGATGAATCCGAGGGAGCATCGAGAAAAGAACCGAAGGAGCCCCGAACCCCTGTTCCAACGCTGCCCCCAAACGAAACCCTGAAGAGCGAGAGTGGAGCCAAACGTGGACCGACGAGCCCTAGCCCGTCTGCGCTCAGGCTCCGTCGGCGCTCGCAGGTCATGATCACCAGAGTGGATGAGCATGACCATGGCAATACCCTGTACCGCTGACATGGCACGTGCCGTCCAACTGTCCAAGATAAACTGGGTCACCAAACCTCGCGCATGGCGCCCCGCGATGCGCGGTGACATTCGCGCCCTCGCGAAGCCACCTCGGAAAAGGGCAATTATCCTGCCCAGGCCGCCACCTGGAAGAACTTTCAGCAAATTTCACTTTTCACCTTTTCGGCTTCTGGTGGACCTCCGAGGTCTCAAGACGGCCTAAGAGTTACCGAACAGGAGCACAGAGGGACCCCAAGAGGGCCCCAAAGGCTCGCACCAGAAGAGAGACCCAAGAGGCAGATTTTGCCCCAAGGGGAAGATCCACATGGGTGGCTCCAGAGGGGTACGAACGGCTCCCCCAAATGCTCCAAGAGAGCTGGAAGATGGAAGACGCCTCCAAGACCCCCCTCCAAAAATCAGCGCAACAACCATGCAATACTATGGCTGCGCCACGCTAAAAAGAAACGCTCCCTAGATGGCAACAAGACGATTCGACCGAGCCTGTTCGGAGATATCGGTAGAAACACCCCGCACCTATGTATTTCTATGCTGGGCTGGCACGGTGGCGACACCTGCCGCAGTCAGCTAGATCCTGGCAAATATTTCGAGCCGCGTGCTGCCGCGGCGACGGGAACCTCCAGAAACGCCCCAACACAGCCCGCAACGAAGTCGTCGTCGCCGTCGCCGCCGCCGCCGTCGTCGTCGTCGTCGTCGTCGTCGTCGTCGTCGTCGTCGTCGTCGTCGTCGTCGTCGTCGTCGAGACCCTCGTCGTGGTCGTCGTCGTCGTCGTCGTCGTCGTCGTCGTCGTCGTCATCGTCGAGACCCTCGCCGTCGTCGTCGTCGTCGTCGTCGTCGTCGTCGTCGTCGTCGTCGTCGTCGTCGTCGTCGTCGTCGTCGTCGTCGTCGTCGTCGTCGTCGTCGTCGTCGTCGTCGTCGTCGTCGTCGTCGTCGTTGTCGTTGTCCTTGTCCCTGCCCTTGTCCTTGTCCTTGTCCTTGCCCTTGACCTTGTCCATGCCCTCGTCGTCCTCGTCGCTGTCGTCCTCATCGTGGCCATCGTCGTGATCCTCGCCCTCGTCCTCGCCGGCGGCGGCGTCGGTACCGCTGACGCCACCTCCACTGGCGGCGGTGGCCAGGCCCGCGCCTCGAGCCGCGCTCACCCCTCGCGGCCGCAGGCCCGGCCCGCCGCTCCAAGACGTCGGCCCCGCCTGGAGGCGGCCGCCGCCGGCGCTGTCGGCGCCTTTATCGGCGATGCCGCCGTCGTCTTCGCCGTTGGCGCCGCCGCCAGCGCCGTCGGCGTCACTGCCGCCGTCGGCGCCGGCGCCGTCGGCGTCGTCGTCGGCGTAGCGCCGCGGGCGCTGTCGGCGCCGTCGCCGTTTGCGTCGGCTTTGCCGTCGAGGGCGTCGGCGGCGTCGAGAGCGTTGGCGTCAAGGGCGTCGGTGGCGTCGGGGGCCAGCGGCGGCGTCGGCGGCGGGATCGTAATTGGCGTAGGCGCCGCCGGTGCTGTCGGCGCCGACGCCGCCGTCGTCGTCGGCGTCGGCGTAGAGGGCGTCGGCGTCGCCGTCGAGGGCGTCGGCGGCGCTGAGGGCGTTGGCGCCGTCGGCGTTGTCGTCCGCGGCGTGGTCTTCGTGGGAGGAGTCCGAAGCGGAGCAGGAGGGCGGCGGATGAGAGAGAGAAAGGATGGGTGAGGGGGAGAGAGGAGGAGG